CTCTGTGTGTCTGTCTGTGTGATGCGTCTCTGTCTGCTTTTGTCTGTCTGTATATTTGTCTGTGTTTCCATCAGCCTGTCAGTCAGTCTGTCAGCATCGTGTCTCAATCGCAGCAGTCTTAACCTTTTTTTATCAACCTTATCAGCAGTGATTGCCCTAATATTGGCATATCTTGTTTTTCTCATCTTACCTTCCTTTTATCTGTCGTGGCTTTCTTACAGGAACTCCGGCTCTGACATCCAGACAGTTCAAGGAGGCAGACTTTGAAAAGGTTGTGGATTTTATTGACGAAGGGATTCAGATCGCACTGGATGTGAAAAAGAAGACTGGTGAGGGAGGAAGAAGTTTCTGTGTTTTGAGTAGATGTCTGATTTATCTAGTGGTGGAGTTTGAGGATTTATACAACTGGCAGAGACACCATGGTGACATATTGTTTGTTGAGAAGGCTTTCTAATACTCTATGACCATGGTGAACTATTGATAATGTGCTCAAAAAGAACTGCATTAGTTTTGACCCTGTACATTGGCAATGTTATGTTATAACATTTATTATTTTGCTTGCAGTTAGAGTCTGTGCAAAAGTTATTAGCACAGAGATATATTTTTTATTCTTCCTGAGAGCACAGTAGTCTAATTCCACCTTTATCATGCAGTTTGGTGGCTTTGAGAAAAATGGTGTTACATTTACACATTTTGGTTTAAATTTATGATCATCTTTAATTCTTTGTGCAATTTTGGTTATTAATGGAAAAATGCATTATATTACTTTGAGATATTGCAGGTAGTGTGTGTAAGAAAATATCAGTAACTCAGGGGAAGGCCTTTCTCACAGTCTTTCTCATAGCCTTTCTCACAGCCTTTCTCACAACACCAATAAGTTTTATACAGTCCCTAACTAACAGGTTTCACGACGTTTTTTTACAGCATTTTACAGGATATTTTAGGAAGAAATGTGAAATATAAACCTTAAACTTTTTGTTTTAATTCCTCTGTCTCCCAACAGGAAATCTGGCCAGCTTCAAGTCCTTCCTGCTGGAGGACTCGGAGACCGTGTCGCGCATCGCAGACCTCCGCCAGCGGGTGGAGCTATTCGCCAGGCCCTTCCCTATGCCCGGATTCACTGACCACTAGTAACACCACATTCACAAAGGCAGTTTCCCCACCATATCATGGACATATCCTTCACACTTTAGAACTCCTCTAATGTAATAAGTTTCAGATGTTTAGATTCTAAGATAATCTAGTCTTAGATGACGTTGCCATGGAAACAAGCATAGTTTCAAAACACTGTCAGGTTAAAACTTGGTCAGTGTGCAGCTGCAGTGGTCATTTCCATATCAACTGTAGCTGCAAGCAGATATAAATGTATATGTCTTTGTCAACAATTATAACGTCTCCTGTGAGGCATCCAGTGATTTTTGTTTGATTAGTAACCCATTTATTCGAACTTATTACAGTACTGTGCAAAACTCTTTACATACAAACATACTAGATATGAAAATGATTTTGTTTTTTGCATTTAAGTGGCCTCAAATGCTGCACAGTAGTTTCCCACTTCTCAAACAGGTTGTTTGCTGCCCTAAATCGGGAAGGACCTTGAGTGTTTTAGGTATTTGGCTTTTTGTCACTAAGCTCTTTTTAGAGGCCTTATCAACGTCAAGCTTTGTCCCAGGCCCTGGGAAACTCACAGCAGCTGTGTTGGGAATTGAACACACTCTCAGCTTACACCCACAGAAGCACAGACTGAAAAGGGGAAACGGTTAAACAGCACAAACTATGTTTTTAGGCTTTTTTTTGGTATAACATATTAATACCACCTTCTATTCCTTCTCTTTGGTTTGTATTGTAAAGGACTTGTGAGAAATGTACAATGTATATACAGTAGATCTTCTTAATTGCAATAAAAAAGAATCTTGAATGTTTAAACGTTGTTACGTTATTATGTTATTACTAATATTTCATGATCTCACTGCTGTCACTTGCATTGGGCTAATGAATACTGGCTGCTCTGTAACAGGCACGTGCATTGGTTAGAGAGGCAGATGATTTATGTTTACAGTCGAAGGAGGGAGGAGACTGCAGAGTTTATAAACATTGATCCGTGTTAAGCTGCATGCATTTCCTCCAGTCATTTCCTCTTACTGTCAACTTCAGGGAACAGTCCAGAAAAAAACAGACGCTGATCTTTCAAGAGTGATAGATATCAGACAGGAAGATAGTTGGAGCCAGAGCTTCACACCCTGAAAAAACTTTGTCTTCAGTGAGCTTCAGCCTCTTATCTCCACTGGACAGCTGGTCTTGTTTTGTATGTGATTGAATTGTTTTATGACTTCCATTCAAATTAAAGATCCCCTCCAGACATATATACAAATATTCTGCTTGAAACAATAATGCGTGTCTGATATGTGCTTTCCACAAAAAATAAGTTGAATTTTCACATTAAAAGTCTAGTGTGTAACATTTAGGAGGGTCTATCGGCAGAAATGAAACATATAATATAATAACATATAATCACCTGAATATAGGAATCATTCTGTTTTTGTCACCTTAGAATGAGACGTTTTTATCTACAGATTTTCATGGGTTTTGCGGCCACCCTAGTTTTTTTACTTTGCAGCCAAACTTTACCACAAGATGCCACTAAACCCCTATATTGGTCCTTTCAAGTTCTTAAAAAGGCATTTACTCCTTTTACCTAATTTAGAATGTAGGAAAAGGCTAATTTTGTCCCTTTCTTAGGTTTTCCTGCTGGACACAAGGTGTCCCCTACTTCATTGTCAAGTCCATTTGCAGTGTATGTGCCCTAGTGGCTTCAAGTTTCTACATTACACACTATAAGTTGCAAATTGGACCAGGATTGGCTTCCAAACTATTTGTGATGTCACAAATCATGCCCCTTCAAATCAGAGAAACTTTACACTTTCAGCAGGTGAATGTGAAAACATCCTTCTCGTGTCAAACTCTGCACATACATCATTATGCAGAGTGAAACTTAAACATCCAACTGTAGGAGCAAGAAGAAAAATACACTTTTGGGTGTAGGGGGACCAGACTCTGGCTATAAAAAACAAAGCTTCCAAGCAGGAGGTCCTGCAACCCCACATTAGATAATGCTAATAAACACAGACAGCATTATATTATATACATGAGAAGATGAGAGCATTATGTAACACCAGAGTCCTTCACTGTCCTCACAAAACCTTCAGAACTTCTATTTATTCAAAAGCTTCGTCTCCCACTGATTCTCAAATTTCTGCAGTCAGATCTTTATACTCTGAGATAACACAGATTAAAAAACTGGCCTCCTCTTTCTTTCACTCCGGGAAAAAATGATAAACTTTGTTGTTTCTTTTATTTTGATGTATTTAGTTCTTATTCTGGATAGAAAGTTTCCTCTCAAGTGTTTTATAAAGCAACACTAAATCAGTTTTGCAACATGAAGCGCTGCTGCTGCTTATTGGAGCGCTAAATATGTATTTCACTGAAGAACTGAATGGACTTTTGTTTGACATCAGACGTCTTTGTGTCCTGCTCAGCTTTTCGGTCCATCTTCCAATTTTACAGTTGAAGGTTATTGCTTCAGTTTCTGCCAGAGGAATGTGTCCCCTCCACAGAGACTGGCCAGCTGTATCACAGGTCAAAGGGCAGGGAAGCTCTCAGCTCTGTCGTCAGAAAACACACACAAGCAAAAGCCAGGACGCACACACACGCAGCATCACAACACAAATAATGGCTCATCGGCTTCATCTCTGTGCCTGTTTCTCATGACCTGACAACTCCTTTGACGCAGTGTGTGTGTGTGTGTGTGTGTGAGTTTTAAAGCTTTCAAATATCCTTTAGGGAAATCAAATGATCCCTCATGTTCCATCGTTCTAGGGCTCTAGCCCTCTCCTCAACAATCCCTGTGGTGTTTAAAAGTAGGATGATTTTTTGAAGTTGGCTCTTCTTTATTCTCTCTTCACTCTTTTTGTTGTATAACAAGGAGCAAAGATGAATATGAGCTCAGAGCACAGAGAGCCGAAAGAGAGGTCTGAGGTTTCTTAAGAGGATGAAACATGAGTCTCACCTTCAGTGAACAAAGCCTGTAAGAATTTAACGGCTTGTTTTTTAATTTATCCTTCAGAAGTGGCAAGGGTGTTACTGAGGAAGTTAATAAAGAGGAAAACAAAGGAGGGATAAACACTGTATATCAAGATTCAACATGACAAAGGGTTCAGTCTCAGAAAAGGACAACATGTAGTCATACATCCCACATGTGTATTTCATTACTCTCCATCATCTAGAGAATGAAGCAAGAATAGAGAAAGCAGAGATGACTGAAGCCAACGTTTGTTTCTAATCTGATTACTTTAAAATCTTAATAATTTAGAATTATCTCAACTGTCTGTCCTTTTTAAAGACATAAAGATACATTTTTAAAGTCATTTAGATGATACCAATCAATTAGAGAGAGAGAGAGAGAGAGAGAGTTTTCACTTGATTTACCTCATTAGTCTGTTTGATTTTCATCCTGTACGTGGTACATATGCTACCTGGATTTGTGAGTGTGTGTGTGTGTCTGTGTGTGTATATACACTCAGGTTGTACACACTGTGCTCTGCTGTCATACATCAACACCATGCTGGGTGACTGCTCAGCATCCTGCCACTGCTGTAGCTGATCAAAGACTCAAGGCTGCTGTCACACACAGTGGCACATACAGGCAAATACACACACACACACACACACACACACACACACACAACCACACACACACACACACACACACACACACACACACACACACATACACGCTACTAAATGTGGTCGTAGAAGCACCAATCAGGCTGCAAAGTGACAGCTGCACTGCCAACAGATGGATCTGTTCCATCAGAGTTACTGATTGTGTATTTTTATCTTAGGATGTGGAAAAAGATCTGTATCTGACTCAGTTCCATGCAGGTGTTTGAGGAAAAGTCAGTGTGTCTGTGTGTGACGGTGCAGATTGGCAACAAACCCACTCTCATCCAGACAGTTTATTTATTTTATACATCTCTGCCTTTTTTCATAACTTGCACAGTGATTGCTGAATTTAGTGGCTGCTAAACCTACAATCATGTGCCAGCTATAAAGCAACACCTGCAGTCAAGTCACAAATTAGGTATTATATTACGTATAGTTAAAGTTTCACACAGAACACACCACAGTGCACACACTACAAATTATGTTTGACCATTTTTGAATGCATGCTATAGTTTTAGATTGTTGTGTGTATTTTTTGCTCTGTTCCAGGCAACTATTCATCTCCATTTATTTCTGCACAATACAAAAATCAATTGGATTTTCATATCTTACAGAAGTGAACAAATGCCTGAAACATTCAAAATAATGCACTGACATTTCTAAAACTCAGCACCATGGTTAATAAAACAGTTAGATATGATGTATAATATTAATTATTTGTATTAAATTGGCTAAACAATGCAATACCACTGGTCTGGTGCTTTAACAAATAGCAAAATGTTACTAAACCTTGTTGTTTACTCCTCAGTTCATGAATATACAAGTGAAAGAGACCAGGAAAGTTAAGACATAAGCATATAAGCATGTGCATATCTCTCCTGAATAAAGTATGTCAAAATACTAAATTTTTTATTTTGCCACTATTCATACATGCATTCAGGATTCATTCACTGACGGACATTGACCAGATCATGAGCTACGTTGCAAACACCAAACAAGCAGACATAGAGACACCAAAGGGTTAGAGATCTGGATCCAGGAGCCATTGCACCTTCCACCTGCAGTGAGGACGTAAAATGAGGGAGGGGTAGTGAATCTAATCCTAGGTCAGGATTTTTTGTTGTTTTTCATTCTGGTTTGTGAGAGGTGGCCGGTGAGCAATTCAGAACTCAGGTCCCTCCTTCTTTAGGTTTTTGTAGTCTGTGCTGATGGCCACAAACTGAGGGAGAAGAGAAGATAAATCAAATTACAGTTAGAATGTCATCACAGTTTCCTAACATTAAATACTGTGGTGTGCTATATTACCTTATATTGGTATGTTGGGTCAAGATTATTCCATGGCTCAGGGTTATTGTTCTTGTTCCAGCTAAACACACAAACAGATATGAACTGGAATAAGTTAGGCCCAGTGAGAATCTGATATACATGAATAAAGCTCTCATTTCCATATTGATTCCCAAGTGATCTGATACCCCGTGAGAGCTGCTTTATTTCACGTCTGCTTTGATAGATTACAATGAAACATAAAATAAAAGGCAACCAAAAGTTGAGGGTCAGATTCAAACTCTTAAGCCTGCTGTGCCACCACCAGGACACTTTCTAATGGTTTCATCAAGCTGGTAAACAATAGCTGCTGCAAAGAAATAGTGAAAGATCTGCAAGGAGACAAGACAGTGCATCACCATGTGAGCTCTTGTTAAAAGCACTTTGCTGTGCCTGCTGGAGTATCTTCAAAAACCCCTGAAATCAACAGTTTGGATAGCAGCAGGAGGAGAGGAAGTCCAAGAAAGAGGCAATTTGAGGGGGAAATGACTGCAAGCGGAGATCGCTGTTGTCAGAAACACAATCATAAAACAAATTCCTCTCTTCGTTAAGGGTTTAATTATTCACCTGCCCTCCACATGCCTTGTTAGAATGTTGGCAAATCAACATTTCAGGAATTATAAGATGAAGGAAGTTTAATTAGTATAAAATCCATAATTTCCTTGTTAACTCATCTTAATAATAATATTTATGGTGATGTGCTCCACCCTGTAGGGGGCATTGATTCTTCTTTGGAAACTGCTGTATAATTGTCTGTCAATGAGATGAAAAAAGAACGTCTAAACTGGGGAAAACACACCTATTAACAAGAAAATTAGTTATTAATTAGATTCCTAGTAAAAGGTGACATATCTGGTTAAAGAATGATGGGAAAATGTTTTTAATTATCTTAATTAATCTTAATTAAGAAAATACAGATGTTTACATCATCTAACAGGTTACTGTTTGATCAGTAAACAGCTTAAAAGTGAGTTGTTTGTTTTACCAAACATCATCATACTGACTTTTTACACATTATCTCTGTTGCATATTATAAGTGAAAGGCCCTTACGTGACATGGGGTCCTTTGGCCAACCGGATCAGGTACAGAGATGCCCCGCCCATTCCCAAACAGATGAAGAAGAACTGGGGGATGAGCTGAAGACAGAGAGAGGCAATAAAAAGATTAAGCTTCTTAAAATATTAATCTATTATTAGTTGTTTTGTTATTTCTGAATTTGATATGTGACAGGACTACTTGTGCATAAATGAAAAAATATACAGTATGTTTATGGTCTATAGTCTATTATTGACTGATTGGAGCCTGCAGGATCCGGGGAACAGGCTGTTCTGATCCTTCCTCCAGTGTCTGCCTGAGTCAAATACTAAATATAGTCAGTATTAAAAGTCTGTCTCATAGTCAGTGGTGGTGGAATAAATACTCAAGACAGTGAAAAAAAAGTCTAAATATTCCTTTAAAGTCATTTAGTATTGGAGCAACATGTAAACTGCCAGATACAGTGCCTGAGTCAATATAGCCTACACTTTGTTGCTTTCCATTATCGTCTATTAACAGCTGTACCCTCAACACAGCTGGAGATGGGGCTCTATTTTTGTAACGTAGAGGAAGTTTTATTAAAAAGAAAACTTCCCCAGTTTCCACAGAAAAAGCAATAGACTCAGGAAAGTTGGTTAAACACAATTCACTGAGACACTTCACTTTCAGACCACCATGAAGAAAGATGAAGAGGCTGTCATACGCAGTGTTGATTCAGAAGATATGTATACTCTTGGGATCATTTTAATCAAAGTTTGGTTATTATTCTTCCACCAGCAGTTGGTTGTGGTCGGGTGTTGTGTTGCTAGTAGCAACCAATACTGATTATTGCTTGCTGCTTAACTGACATTTATACACCATTTCTGTAATAAAAATAAATAATTTAGAGAGAAATGAAGGTGTTGAAGTGGACGTGTTGTATCTTTTCTGTGTTTGTGGAGCAGTATTATTGATTCATCTACTGTGCAATGATGAGAGATTTTCTCATGTATCCGTCTAACATCATTGACCACCTGAGAAATACTCTTGTTTTGTCTGATTATGACCTTTGACCTTCAGTCTGTGTCCTGACCATCAGAAAGCAGCAGATAAAGAACAGATGGGCTGCTTCCTGCTTTAAAAACAAACTACAGTTGCAGAGCTTTTTCTGTATAATAAAGTACCCCATTGGATATTAATCTATAACGAATAGATTAGAGCAGAGTTAGTTAGTTGGAACCTCAGAATAAATTATTTTTCATGCATAATTTACTTTGTGTACCCTGAGGGAAGCTTTATTATAAAGAGTATATTACTGCACTGCTGTTTACGGCTGAGTACTTTTAGTAAAGTGTTAAAGTGAAACATTGAGTGATGAAAAGCAGCAGACCTGCCGCTTTTATTGTGAAAAGCTGGGAGCAGAAGCAGTGGTTGTCTCCTGGTGAAACACAAACAGCTCGGAGATAAAGTAGCGGTGGACAGACAGACGGACTGACAGACTGACTGACTGTAAGTACAACACACCACAGTCAGTGCACACGCTAATGAGCTTCATTAGTCTCTGAATGGCATTAAAACGATAACACTATATCCTGAATATGTATGTTGTTGATGGAAGCTAATGTAGTAGCTCGCTACCAGGCTAGCCTACATTACAGCATCGACAGGGACCGTCGAGTGGACTGAACACCTTTGACTGTCAGCAGAAACCAAACTAACTCCAATGAGCCTCTGAATGTGTGTTAGCTGCTGCTGGCTCTCTGCTCTGCTCTGTATACGCTTTATTTAGTCCAGCTGCTGTAGTTGTATTTACCTGCCTCAGGTAACGTTAGCATCACCTCGGTTGTGTCCTGACACTGAATTAGTTGTATACAATTGAGTGTTGAATATAATGTTTGACATGTTATTGTTTTCCCATCTATTTATAGGATACCAGTGATCTCCCCCACAGTCTGCACCACAGTTGACAAAATAAGAGAAACACCAACTCCAGCTTGGTGGTAATTAAATCTCAGCTCCAGTTGGGATTGTGTGCCAGCTTCAGAGGAGACAACCAACTCCTCAACTCCCAGCATGAGTGAGTTAACAGACTTTGACAGGGGCCAAATAGTTGGTGCACAGCTTGCAGGTCTGTCGGTCAGAAAAACTGCCCAGTTATGTGATGTGTCGAGTCGAACTGTCCTCAAAGTCATGAGTGTTTATAACAAACACGGAGACACTGTATCAGCAAAGAAGAGCAGGAGGCAGGAGCCACAGAGCAAAAGGAGAAGACTGACAAAAGCTGATGTTAAAGGAGGAGCTGCCAGTGGGAAACCAGTATCTGAACCTCTGGTGGACACACAAAACCCAGATGAAGAGAGCCACAGAGCCCAGACTAAAGACAAGGAGTAATATGGTCTGATGAGCTGTGCTTCACTCTTTCTGTTATATTTAGAGTGGTTAATGTGTGCATAAAGCCTCAGGATGCCTTCATTTAAATAAGCTATAAAGACATGTTTAGGTTTAATTTAAAGGCTTGACAATGGCCAGGGAATATGAGCCTTTTCTGTAAGCTATGATACATTTACAGGCTTTTCCCAAGCTTTCTTGGTTATGTTTTATAACCTTCAGCTAGCATTTAGCTGTGTGAGCTAATGTCCAAAGTTCAAGGTAGAATTTATTGTCATTCAATACTCAGTATACAGTCTATACAGTATGTACAGTATACAGGGGGAACGTCATTACATTCCTCCTATTCTGTACACTATAAACAGATACACACAGTAGTGTACAAGTAGTATTACGTTGAGTAAAGTGCAATGAATGAAATATGTTGCTAATATCCAAACACTGATAATACCTCCTGTATGTTAATTAAATTAATGACTGTGCCTCTGATGGGGACTGATGTTGATCTGGTGAGATCAGTTTCTTCTTTGCATGACACTGTAGATAATTAGTCTATACTTTTGTGAATCCCTCTCATTCATTTTTACAGTACGTCTTGTTGATCGTATGTCGTCACTCATCATTAAACGTGTGTCACTGTTTCACAAGGGCTTCCAGTAAAGATTGAGGCAAATTACTGTGTTTAAACTTCACTGGTGTGTTTACTTTGCTGCATAGCTGTGACTCTACATGCTTAGTAAGGGCAGAGAGTTATTGTCCACCACCTGTGCACACGCAAAAAATAGAGAAGCCTGATTTGCTGGTCATAAAACCAAAGTGAAGTCTAGTGGAGAATCAGCCTGTATACAGTATGCTGAGCAGCTAATTATCGTGATGGAAAACAGAAATTCCTTTTCTACGTTGCATCAGGCTCAGCTTCAACCTCTTGACTCCTGACACTACGTTAGCTGAATGTCTCTGAGAATATGCAAATATAAAAGCACATTCTTGAATTAAAAAAGGGCAGATACGGCTCTTTTTTTATTTTCCCGAGGTCAACTGACTTATTCAACTGTGACAAACTCTCAGTTATACGCCAACAATCTACTATAACAAAATCCCAATTCCTGTTTAGTGGTTTTTAAATTATACTCCATGAAGTCGTCATGAAGTAGGGAATGTCTTTACTAAAGTACCCAGGATTTTTTGCATACTTTATTTGACTTTCAGTCTACAGATACTGTAACAGCTCTGAGGATGAACTACTGCCCGGCCTTCACTGCGGCACCCCACTGAACCTGCTGACACAGCACTGTGGTGTGTGTATGTGTGTGTAAGGCACTGGTGGAAACCAACCAATTTACTTACATACTGGACTGAAGTACATTTAAGTAATTTTAAATTATTTCTGTTTAATGCTACTTCATACTTCCACTCGACTCTATTTCAGAATAATATAATGGACTTCACTACAGATATCTCACAAAGAAGGCAAAGATTAGAGAGAAGTCCAAAAATTATTAAACATTTGTGTAGCGGAAATTAGTTTTTTCTTTCCGATCCCATTAAATAATCTCACGACCCCTCAGATTTATTTTATGACCTTTGGAGGAGCCTGACCCTCAGGTTAGGAAGCACTGGACTGAAATACTCCAGTACTACAACAGTAAGATGCTGCTTACACATTTGTGCTTCTGTATTATTATCTAATCGTGTAATATATGATGACATATGAGTCACAGGGGACAGTTTTCTTCAAAACAAGTACTTGATACTTTATATTTAGCTGATAATACTTTATTGGTATGTTTACTCAAGTAAAAGAGCTGCAGGTTTGAGCCAGAGAAAGAAACCCAGCCATTGATTTGCTGTCTGCAATGAAACACTTTCTACCGTCAGCTGAAGATCTACAGCAACATGACTGAATAATTCATCAATCTCTGTCTGCCTGTCTGCCCATCTGTCTGACTGTGTTTCTCAGTCCAGCTGATTAACTCACTATGTGCCTGTCTATCTGCTGACACTACATTAAAATCACAACATACTTTACAGACAATGTTGACAGTGGTGGAAAGTAAATACATTTAAGTTCAAGTTACCTGTACTTTATTGACTATTACTTTATTTATTTTATGTTCAATCTTCTACAGAGAGAGTTACTAGTTACTTTACAGCTTACGTTTTTACATATAAAACACCTGATGAGCTTTCTTATAAAATACAGTTACAAGCAGTTCAAATTAGCTCCACCAACACTGACAGAAGCTTTTTTTTACTACATAACAGGCACATATACTTTTGATACTTAAAGTACATTTTGTTTTTAATAATTCTGTACTTTTACTACATGTGTTAGTGATTTAGTGACATCTAATGGTGAAGTTGTAGATTGCAACTAACTGAACACTACTTGTGTCTCCAGTTGATGACCTGGGAATGAGAATTGGCTGTGAAGTATGAAGGAGAAACTGTAGTACAGCCAGTGTTTGGTTTGTCCATTCTGGGCTACAGAAAACAGACCTATAAATATTAGGTTCCATTTCTGCCAATAGATCCTCCTAAATGTTAAACACTGGACCTTTAAAAGTGGGCCTTTAAATGAAGGACTCTTAATTGAGTCTTTTTCCATTGTCGTATTGCTGCTTTTACAAAAGTAAAAGATCTGACTACTTCTTCCATCACTTGAATTTGATATAAAGGACTATATAATGTGTAATGTCAGGCACTCATCTAAATGTACCTTTTTTTCTGTTTTCAAGATGTATGATGGTAGTTAGCACCTTTCATGTTGCATTCATGCTATTTTAAAGGGTATCGTAATAATTATCATAAAGTATTATTAATAGACTTTCTTCATCTCGGTCTGTCTGATTTACTTTCCGTCTGTCTGACTATCTGTCCATCTGAATTTCTCTTTCTATCAAACTTTCTGACACACTAACGGCCTGTCTCTGTCTCTCTCTCTCTCTGTCTCTCTCTCTGTCTGACTGAGTGTTGTAACTTGATCAAGGAGACCTGAGGCTCACAGGGATTTGCTTCCTGCAGCTTCTCTCTCACACACACTGTCTGTCTCTCAGCCTGTCCGTCTGTCAGAATGATAGACCATATCAAGGAGCTCTGGTAGAGTCTCATAGGGATTTCCTCCCTGCAGCCTCTCTCTCTCTCTCTCTCTCTCTCTCTCTCTCTCTCTCTCTTTTTTTTTTTTTTTTTTTTTTTTCTCTCTCTCTTTCTATCTCCTGGGAGGCTGATGACAAGAAGTTAAAACTCTGTCACTTTGCTAGCTGACAGCAGAGCTGGTTAAAAGCGCAGAAATAATCCCGTCCCCTGTAGGAACAACTCATATTTTTGAATTTATTTTATTCCAACTACTCTTTTCCTGAATGCTTAGATTTTGTCAGTTTCAATTTAGGAAGTTTGTAAAGGTCATGCTGGTATGTTTTTTAAGTCTCTCACAGTGTAGATGACTCATTAGATGAGTCAAAATTAGAGTTCTGGTCTTTGCTATGACCAATTAATTCACCAACACTCTACAAACACAGCAGGCATCATTAAATTTGTCTGCTGCTGTATTTTACTGACTACAGCTAGAACTTAATCAGTAGTCAAGTCAAGCATTTTAATATTTAAGTCTATTTATAGTGCAGTGTTTTCTTAAAGATATACCATAAATCAATACATGTAGCTATTTTAGAGGGATATGATACTATTCATATTATAGTGATAAAAGACAGACATACATTGCAATTGGATAAATAAAATAAAATAAATAAAAGCTTGAATTTTAACCTCAAGTCTATGGGGACAATGACATGCAAATAAGCCTCAACTATATCCTAAAAATTAAGGAAAATGAACCATGCTAGAAAACTTTAGCTACATGTTCGAAAAAATTTTTGGAAAACAGGTTACCATCATTATATCACGTAAAAGTACTAAAAAGAAACAAACAGCAAAAAAATAAAGAATACTTACGCCAGGGTGCCTCTTAGCATGCTCTACTGCTGTCCGAAACATCCTTCCGCCACTTTATAGAAATTTTATGTATGAAATAAAATGATTCAGTCAGTGTTTCAGGCCCTTATTATCAACAACCACAAGCTTTGTACAACTGTGCAGAGAGACAGGATTTAGACCTGTTGCTCTCTGAACGAGGAGGGAGGAGAAGGAGGGGAGGAGGAGGAGGAGGAGGAGGAGAAAGAGGTCATTTACATGTGATTACAGCTACTTCTGCTCCCTAGTTGGGCTGATTACACCGTGCTGGACACTGTGGAACAGTTTATATTCAAACGATAAGGTTTCATCCTTATGAATGTTTATTATTGTCCAGGCCAGAGACATTTAATGCTCATATCAGGGTGTTCAATCAGAAGATGTTGTGTAAAGCTCCTACAGAGAGCACAGAGGCTTTTTCTCCCCCACTCCCTTCACTGTAGTCTGAACACTTTTCAGCCCTTTGGGAGCTGGACTGGAGGAAATGGAAAAGCATACAAACACTGTGTCCTTTTAAAGGCCACGGGGGGGATTATCTATGTCTTCAGTTCATCATATCAGTAAACATATATACAGTACACATCCCAAAAAAACACAGTTCAATTGAAAGCTGCTACAACAAAGAGAAAGAGAAAGACCCACGCACGGGAATGAGGCTCCTTGAGGTTGAAATGTTGCTGCCATCAAAGTATGGACCGTTGTTTTTGTGCAAGAGTATTTTATTTCTCAATAGTGAAGTAAACCAAATGTTCAGTAAACTATTGGTAAGAAAAAATAATGGCAAAGCTTATTAATGATACCAAAGACCGGCACAAAAGCCTGCTGTTGTTTCATGATGCATTCATGTCGCGTCTTTGTCAAAAGCACTCAGGCAAACTATCCCTTTTCTTCTAGTTAATGACTACTGGCTGATTATCTTGGCAACCAAAGTCAGGGGACACTCCAAAACAAAATTATGTACCACAGTCATCATCCATTTGAAAGAGTTTGCAAATTTGGCCACTAAGAGATCATTTTAGCAAGTGCATAGTTAGCAACATAGTTCAACCTGGAGAAGATGTTAAAGGATGTAACATGAAAACATAACATGGAGATGCCTGAAGAGCAGAATAAAGATGTCATCTTAACGTTAACACTAAAACTATTAGTTCATTTTGAGTTTTTTAACAGGTGAAAAGTTAATCTTGTTCCGTAATTTCTCTCAAACCCAAAATTGATTGTATAAACCAAAAGTAAAACTTTCAACCAACGGAGATCTGTGCAACAATTCCTTCTTGTTACCAAAGATGTACTGTTGTGTTTTCCTTATGTTACTAATAGATACTGACAATAGAAAACACAGATAAAAACACACTGTGCTTTTGCTTGTAAAAGAAAACCTGCCAGTCTGTTTAAAGGGAGTGTGTCTCTGATTCATTGCACTCCAGTTTAATGTGGAAGTTAAAACAAATACAATTCAATTTGGCACATGAGTGCTTCACTTTCAACTTCACAGACGTCTCATTAGCTCCCAGGCACAGCACGTCTGTCCTAAGATAATAAAGCAACTGTTAAGGTCACATGAACCTCCTCGGAAAAACATATATTTTCATAATGTATCTTTTTAGATGACATATATGCTGTAAAGAAAACAGGAAATTTTTTGATCTTATGGAAAGTGTCAACCTTTAGATCAAATGAAAACACAATGATCAAAGCTGGAGCAAGGACGTTTTTTATAACAGCAAAGATTCATTATAATGACTTCATCACCCTCTGACGTGGTGCCTCAGACAGTAATAAATCCCAGTTTTCCCAGTGTGTGTGTGTGTGTGTGTGTGTGTGTGTGTGTGTGTGTGTGTGTGTGTGTGTGTGTGTGTGTGTATGTGTATGTGTGTGTGTGTATTCAAGACCATTTAGCCAGGTGGACTATAATTGGCCAAATAACAAAAATAATCCGAGCACATTCAACCAGTGTTTCACAGCTGCTTCAAGGAGACACTTCATCCAAAATCTACCTTTCAGTATGAAACACCTGCTGTACCCCCTGTAGGCTCAAAAGGTGGCTCTGAAAAGTTTGTAGTTGGATTCAAGTCAGTTACAAAGACTTGCAGGAGTGACACATTTTCACTGGTGTAGAAAAGTATTAAAATGTGTAAAGGGAGTTCTCAAACTGCCCCTGCAACATAATCAACTTCTTCACCAAAGCACATTTTTAAAGTTATATGCACTGCATCTGTATCCGTACCGGAACCTCCTCAGCAGTGGAAGACATATGGGGGACAACAGAGAAGTGGATTATGTTGCAGAGGTGGTTTAACATGGTTCTATGGATATTTTGGTGCCTCTCACCATTGGAGTTTGTTGTCAGTGATATGAAGTCATGCTGACAACAGACTGTTTCCTGCAAAGGAAACCGTTTATAGCCACTTTTCAAGACGACAGAGAAAGAGTGTTCTATACTCATAATATTATTCTTTCACCAGAACAATCAGGTCTGTTAGAGTCATTAAGTTAATAATGTTGATGCTGTTCCTGCTGATCTCTGAGTTTCTCAGTGAGAGATATAGAGTGAGTTTCTCTGGTTGGACAGCTGCCAACATTTCTGTCAAAGAAAACTGAAGACGTGAGAAAACTGAGATGTTCCGCAGTATGTTGCAACTCCAGTTTGGGAGTCAAGAAAGTCAAACTCTGAAGGGACTACAGGGTCTTAAAATTATTAATATTTACATATTTGATAATAAAACCGGTTGTATGATCAGCACATAAATCAATAAAAATGATTATGTTATTGGCACTTAGGAATCATATTGCTATTAGCCCTGACTTTGGACACTAGATGGACAGCTGCCAAGCTGGACTGAATTCATATGTTGTGTTTTGAAATCAATCCTAAAGGACAAACAGAAATCAGACATGGATGCATTTAAGAGCGTTATATAAATTTAGTTGCGAGAGATGTCACAGCTTCTCCCAGGAAGGCATTAACCTAAGAAGAAGATTTTTTAAAACAATTTGAGGCTTTTAGTGATGCAAAGTAACTATGTCAATTTTGTATTGTACTCAGGTACAATTCTGAGGTTGGGTATTTTCATTTCATGCTACTTTAAGTGAAAAATTGAAGGTATAGTTAGTCAGTATCAGTGTGTAAACTATATATTGTACATTAAACAACCTAAACACGTAGCTATATAAAAAAGTTTAAATTAGCAATTATCTCAATCTTGAACAGTTGAACGACCTTTTATTAATTTATTTCATTTGTGACTAAATAATTGATAGAAGTGTGACATAAACTGTAAGACATCAAAGAATGAGAAAAAAAAGAGAAAGGGAGAGAAAAAAGAGTTATTTTACAAAGTACTTTTACTTTCAGTTACATTTCGCTGCTAAAACTTTTATATAAGTAATCTTCTTTTGACTTTTACTTATAATGGATGATTTTTATGGTGTGATAAAGTAAGCCTGGGCACTAAAACAATAGCAATATGTATAGGCAATAGACATTTCATCAATAGCAATAACTGTTCAACAGGATATTGATAGTTGCTTTACATGCAAACTGCCATGAAAGCACATGACAAATACACCCTGGATCATAAACAGCCTATTATATCCCTATAATGAAACATACTATGAGTGAATCACAATCTGGGAGCCTTGATACATAAAGTGATTATTTAAATTCAAACTAAAGTAGTTCAATTTAAAGTAAAGTGGTTAAATTCAACCTTTTTTTTTTTCCCACATATTTTCAAATGCAATGAGTTTCGAGCTACAACCACATTTCCACAACCCACTGTGACACTGTGAAGGTGCCTCTGATGAACGAGTCACTAGAAACAAAGGACATGAACCCTACAGGTTTCCCACCCTCAAACACAAGCCATCTATATGTTTTGCTCCTGTGCAGAGCGAAGAGAGACAGGAAGCATGGAGACAAATAGCGGGGTTGTCTGCAACAAGGGTTCTAGTTGTCTTCACCTAAATGTTACTAACAGACAGGCTGCAAACGGGCTATTTTAAACTCTGTAACCATCGAGATCTTACTGTAAAAAATAAACCATTAAAATGCCTCATTGTGCATCTGTCACACCTCTAACTCTGGGTCCTTATTTTCTCCTCCCCGTAACACTGACTGGGTGACACAAGCTGTTCCTGCTGACCTGCAACACAGATAAATCTTCCTAATTGGACACTGGCCAACACTATGGCACAAACACAGTTCAATACAGCCCAAGCCTGTTTAAAAATATTCAAGATCTGCATGGTATGCCTTGAGCTGCTCGGTAGAGAATTTATTTAGAAACTCTACCTAATGATGAATTGTATTGGTGCAGTAATTCTGACTTATGCCAAGGTGGTGACAGTGCACACAACAGAGAGCAACGGGTAGGTGAAAGCAGGTATGGATAAAAGTGGGCACTGCAACCACCCATCACAGATCACAGATCAGTGAGCCTTCAGAGAATATTCACCTGCTGGTTAATGGCGTATAACAAACCAAAAACCAGTTAATGGTACCACTGTCAGCCGAACACAATGAGTATGTATCATATGGAAATGAAAAGGCAGAAAAGTCCCATTATCCATTGTCCTTTGACATTTTTGAGTTGCACCTGCAGTTGAACTTTTCTTTCTTTTCCTAAATATAATTAAGAAGTGTTGCAGAAATGTAGTGTAGCCATAGAAATAAATCCTGTTTACGTGCTTTTACACATAAAAGATTGCCTTGTTTTTCCCTTTTAATCCCTCTTGTTAAATTTGAGCCAATTACCCTGCAGTCACAGGCCTGCTTCGGCTGTGATTAGACCCACTCTACTCTGCTCTGTGTGTGTGTGTGTGTGTGTGTGTGTGTGTGTGTGTGTGTTACTGCTCCTTGAGGAGAAACAGAACAAGAAGGCTGAGGGTTGGACCTTGAGCTGTGGTAGTTTAACACAACATAATACTATTACACCACAGAGGTCTGCTGGATTAATAATGTGGACCAACATGGAACACAACAGTCTTCAGAGAGGTCAAAACCTATGGATTAGATGAGAGAGAACTCGACTCCTGATTATTATTATTATGGAGTATACAATATCTAGAACCAAAGGCTCTCGCAGTCACATGTTCTTGTGAACATTTTGTCTCTTCTTAAAGATGGCTGACACTGCAGCTCTGAGACCCTGCTGCTGTTCCAGAAACCCACATCTATAAGAAAGCACTATTAAAGTGGTCAGTATAATTACATAGATCCGTTATAGTGAATGTGATGATAACAAACACCAATAGCTCTGTTGCCACTGTAGGATTACGTGTTAATCAGCACCATCTAGTGGTGCAAAACCATATTGCAACACCTAATCATATGTTTTGTATCTAAAGGGTCAGTGCACCCTGCAAAGAAACACAAGCATCTCTCACTTATTTCTAATTTATCTATCCATGCAAATATTTTTGGTAATATTTATCAGGACTATTTTCTACTTAAGAAATAGTCCCTCTCTGACAGCATGTTCTTAGGATCATTCGGAGTAGCACTGAAATGATAACTGATATCATTTCCAAATCATACCACAGGTTTTTTAGATTAATATCTAATCTTCCCAGCAGGCGATTGATTAGTCAAATGATGATCTGATCAACAAGAAAAAAATATTTTAACATTTTAACAATGACCTATTGTTTCAGTCATTTATCAAGCTACATTTGAATAAAGATTTGTTTCTTGTGTGAATAATTTTAGAGTTTAACCTGTTAAAAAGCAATTTCATGATGCACTAGGAAACATTTTTCCGACTAAATCTTAGAGACTACAGAAGTAATATATTAAACAAAAAAAACAAAAAACAAAAATAAACCTAAATCTAAAAAGTGAGCCCACAAATAAAACTATTCACCTCCACCACACTGGTGTGACAAATAAAAACGTGGAAATAATAAAAACACAACTATCTGCATGGAATGGATAGATACAACAAGAGGTAAGACAGAAACCATGTTTTTGTGTGCGCAATTTCAGTGAAGCAACCCTTGAACTGGTTTTAAAGTGAGCTGTAGTGAAAGGGAACCGACGATGGGACTGAAGACAGAAAGCAGGTTAAAATATAACCTGAGGCATCAGACAGCTCCAAACTTTTAACTCAACTTGTCATTCAATCAAAACCAAACACTGTTTTCATCAGTGAAAATATACTTTAAAAAAAAACATACAACAATTTCTATTTACAAACATGAAATTTTTCCACTAGACCTTTAAGATCATTAATTTGACCACAATTCAATATGAATGGTCTCTTGTGGTTTCATACAGCATAATTAAAAAAATAAACAAAATTGTATTTCCATAACATTTACAGTCAAAAACAGAACATCAGAGCCTTGTGCTATCTGAGATCTCAGTTTAGGAGGTAACCATAGAAACATCAGTGGAAATGGTGGAACCGGAGGGAGTCAGGGCAGACGTTACGGTGGTGACGGCAGCAGAAGCTCCGTTCGATGTCAGTGGGGCAACAGAGGGCTCGGTGGGGCGAGCAGGAACCGGTTTGGCGATTTTAATGGGAATGAAGACGTTAGAGGCACAGTGCTCGCTCAGGTATTCGCCTCCTTTCTCCTCATAGTCTTGTCTGCTGATCCATCCCTCTGCCACTGCTCCCCCTTCTGTAGGCAGATGCTCCAAAGCCCAGTCTCTTGCCCCGTACCAGGCGTCCAGGGCCGGCCGCGACGCCATTGTCACCTGAGAAGGTGTCAAGAGTTCAAATGAATTTACAAGAAATTTCAGTTTCAATTGTTTGAGGTGACTGCTTTGCTATGAATCAGCAATACTGCAACTATCTGTCTTTATTGGTCAACATCTGAAACATGTGACATGGGATGTGATTCACAACATCGTGTTTTGGCACTTGAGTGCTGCGTAATGATAAATATGGTTTGAAGAACAATAAAGGACCTTGTACCTTGAAGTGCGACTGGAAAGGCCTCATAGCCAGCAGTTCTTTCTCTACTCTCTCCTTCATTCCAGGGTACTGCATGTTCCCTCCTGTCAGAAACACATTGCTCACCAGCGCCTCCTGCTGCTCTGGAGTGTACCTGTATGTGGTACAGAAGACAGAAAATGCACAGAAAATTACGATTTTCTACAGATCAGCTCTTTGATCAGACATTTGCCGTCATGACCTCGGTCTTGCAGTCAGAGGAGAGCAGGCCGCCTCAACCTGTGTCTGCATGGTTCAGTGTTAGCGTGTGACTCTGTGTTTGCATGTACCATACTGTGTTAACATATGTGTGCACCTGTTGCATTGTATCATTACCTGGCCAAAACGAACTGTAGTGTCTCCATCAGTCCCATCTGGTCCTCTCCGGTCGGCGAGGGCTGGAACAGGATCTCTGGACACCGCAGACGCTCCGTCCCCACAAACAGCTGGTGGTACTCCGCCAGGTTGAACACAGGCTGGAAATCAAAGTTATTTTTCACTGCCATTAATGTGTGACAAGTATTGCCACCAAATGTTTTAGCTTATGAGCAAAGTTTCATTACAAAAACATAATGCAGCACAAAAAGTTTTCTCACACATCCTGCCAGACATTAACCTGGAAGATAATTGCCTGCACAGCATTAACGAGGATCTAAATATCTGTCTGGGTAGTTCCAGTGTCTCTGTGCCACTACCTGAACCACATTAGCAGGTTTTTCTGGCAGCGTGTCCTCAGGGAAGTCAGGATCCATCAGTGCCACTCCGTCTCCCTCGTCCATCGGCTGCTCCAGCTCAGACACCTGGCAGAGAGCAAGAGAACAGCCTCAGGCTTCGTGTCAGCTGCAGCACATCGACTGCAGAAAACAAGCATGGATCCTGTAGATCCCTGCAGCACATTCACGGTAATGACATGTAGACCTAATTAATTATTCGTACATTTCAATGAAACTTCAACTCACTTTTGTGGAAAATATAGTATAGTTGGACCACTTTACTTCCTTGTTACTGTTGGCATCATTTGCATACCTAGCTTATAGCCAAGTGATATGACACTGCTTATACACTTATACATATATACATATATTCTAGAATTCATTAATAAAATGCTAGAGTGTGCATTTTTGTATTTCTTTGGGTAACCTAAAAGAGTCGACACTATCTGTTTCTTACATTAATTGATAGGTGACCATAAGAGACTTTTTTAAACTATCCAAATATTTAGCCAGGTCCAGAGCCAAAATGTGGATACAGCGCTTACAAGATACCAATTTAAGATTTCCCCACTCGGTTTCGATTTAGTGGAGTGGAAGACACACCTCCGCCTTCCCCTCTGCTCCGTCGCTGAGCAGCAGTCTCTGTCGGCCCTGCTCCACAGCCAGCTGCAGTTTGTTGATGTACGACTGCAGCTCCTCGGCTGAGTCCATGTTGAGCTCCACCAGGCTCTTATGAAACTGATCCAACAGGCCGTCCTCCAGCAGCTCCTACACACACAAAACTCTACGGTCACTGCGCAGCACAGAAAAGTCTTTCCTTCTGTATACTGAATTTTAAGTCTCATGCACATATATAACTTATTACATTATGCAAAGGTTTCTTGCCTGTACAGCCATAAGTCTATCCAGCCTCTCTTGGTCCTGCAGCAGCTTCTCCTCCCGGCGGCGAGCGTTGATCTCCTGAAGCCTTCGGAGCTGCTGAGCTCGTCTCTCATGCCTTTCCTCCACGCTCACACAGCCGCCCGGCACCTTACCTGAGAATGGAAGCTGCATACGGTGAACCTCCCGCTCATAAAACTCTGGGCTGCGCCACTTTTCCAGCTCTGTGGAGAACACAATAGAGAGTGGAATGGAAAGTAAGTAAAGGAGGAAAGAAAAGGAAAGTGGGAGTTTATCTGCATCTCCATGCTGTCTTCTAGCTTCTAGTCAGTCTTGTACCACCTGCATCCCCACCGGCCACAAGGAGAAAATCCTTAAATCTTAAAAACTTAAATTGTTATTTGCTGCTGAACCTACACCGATCAGCCATAACATTATGACCACTGACAGCTGACGTGAATAACACTGATTATCTGGTTATCATGACACCTGTCAGTGGGTGAGATAAATGTATTAGAAGCAGGATAAATTGGGCAGCATGAGGATCTGAGCGACTTTGACAAGGGCCACATTGCGATGGCTAGACGACTGGGTCAGAGCATCTCCAAAACTGCAGCTCTTGTGGGGTGTTCCCCATCTGCAGTGGTCAGTACCTATCAAAAGGGATCCAAGGAAGGAAAATAATAATCATAATGTTATGGCTGATCGGTGTATATGTGTGATTGTACTGACATACTGTACCTTCTTGATAATCCACAGCAGTGTAACTATGCTCATGCAGCAGTTCCTCAACGCGGCTGAGTGTGATGGCAGCGAGGTGACCCGGGTATTTCAGCTGGAGCAGCCGCTGCAGGTAGGACGCTGCCTGACTCCCGGCCACGTTCACACGCTTACAGTTCACCGCGTCCAACCTCAAATCAAATCCATATCAAAATAAGACTCTATAGAACGAACTGTGTGTATGTTTGTATGTTTGGACTAAAGATAGCTAAAAACAATCACGAAAGGAGGACAGACAGGAAAAGCATTTCTCAGAGTAAAATAATGTAAGAAGATATAAGATGAACTTTGAAAGGGCAAATACAACACAGGAGCAGTTGTCTGTGTGTGTGAATCCGCACCTGCCATTGATAACCGGCAAGATGTGTGAACAGTGGTATCCTGAGGACAGAACAATGCCAGTGTGCGGAGGCTGGAGGTTCCTTTGAGCGTTATTGTGGTAGAAACTGTACAAGCTGTCCACGCCGTAGGAGACGTACGGGACGCGGTAGCACTCAAATAGCAACTCTGACATCATCTGCCGACAGTGCAGCGGGTTGCAGGGCGCTTCTGTCAGCACTATGGGGTGGGCCACACTGCCCTACAAACACAGGGAGAAAGTAATGCTGATTAATCGTCTGGTTGTCACGATGAGTTAGTTTGATGATGCCAAATATTACCAGTCTGCATTACTGTAATTTATACACACTCATTCTGCTACAAAAACATTTGAGGTACATCTAATTCCTTTATTTGATCGTTCCTTGATCCCGATCTGAAATGGTTCTGGTCTACAATCATGAAGGTCATTCCCAATGCTCTTTTGGTTGAGGAGCAAGGAGGGATCGCTGAGGGCAAGGATCGTAATCCATTGCATACTGCATTGAGTCGTATTGTGTTGAATCGCACTGTGTTGAATTGAATTGCATCACATAGTTGTTTCAACTATATGTAGTAGGTAGTATTGAATCAAGATATGTATTACATCAGCCATCAGTGATGGGGATGCACATAAATACAGAGAGCAGGTTTTTAATAAATGTGCAGATGTTTCTCAGTTTATTGTAAGAGGAAACAAAAAAAGAAGTGGGGGTAACTGTGTACATTATTAACAGACAAACCGGTTTTATAAATGATAATTACACCTGATACTTTATCTGGAGGTAAAAAAACCTATGTGTTAAACAGATTTGAAATAAAGTCTCTGTGTATACTCGTGGACACAGAGCCCTGCGTGGGGCACGCTGGTGGCTGTCTCCAGGCTGGAGAGGCTTTGGGTTAGGCTTAGGGGGCTGAGATCACTGCTGGGACCGCTGGGACACGCTGGAGGCTGGTTATAGGATTTGGGTTGGACTAAGGGGGCCTGGGAGCATGGAGAGCGTGCTGGAGGTGTCTCGTTAATTCAGAGAAACAGAGCAGAATGTCCTTCTGTAGATACCTGGGGTTTAACTGAAATGTAGAAATGAAATCAGTACTATGTCAAATATGTCAAATGTATGTCAAACAGCTTAATCTAATTGTTTGTAACGTCTTTAAATGACCCACATCTGCTGGGTGATGCACCATCACACCACTCACCTCAGAGGTGATGCCCAGGTGTGTAAACACATAGTCAAAGATGAGCTCCTGGATCTCGAAGTTGACCACCACGTTTCGGTCGAACTGGCTCTTCAGCAGCCACCGCAGCGGCTCCAGGTTGGGGATATCGTTACCGATCTGGGTCTCACTGCGAGCAGCCCCTCTGCTGCGCGCCGCCACCGACCTGAAGAGCAGCCGCGGGGACTCGAACTCCGCCGCCGGGGCCGCCCAACCGGCCCGGGTCTGGAAGGAGCCGTTATCTATCACTATCGGGACCGGGGCCGGGACCGGGGTCTGACACTGGGCAGGGAGATCAAAAATCGGGTCGGGAGAGGTTTTACAGTCATGAAATGAGAAAATTTGATAGACCGGATCCCCTTTGGAAGCCATTTTGGAGGTGTGTCACTGTGAAATACAGCCGAGTGGAGGCCAGTGTCGCAGATATATGATTCCCTATTTTTAATCGACTACTTATACAGGCGTTTAATCCGTGTGAATGCGTGTAATAACATTTCCAAGTAGCCCTTTAAGAATAATTAAAATATATGTAATACAAACGAGTAAAATAAAAAACCTTTTATTGTTTCAAAAATCCAAGTGTGGCAAAAAAATCTTCCTACAATTTCTGACACTTAAAAAAATTATAGACTCAATATTCCCTGAATATCCCCGCACTGCAACTAAGATTTGTAACAGTTAATGTTTTTATCCCATATATGTCTTTATCCGCATTTACAATAAATCTTGAAAGCTATATCTACCTTTTACCACCAGAGGTCGTACTACACTGCCTAAGCACAAATCCCTTTACCAGTTCATCCCTGGTGTATTACTAGGTAGATAAACTCTCTGATAGGGCCTGTTTATTATTTAAGTCACACTGTATATAACCATCATACATTCATATCTCCTTTGTTTTAAGATTTTTGATCTGATATGTAGAAAATTGCAGTTGCCATTTGCACAGGTTTTTATTTGTTTTTACTTAACCTCTTAAACCTCACTGACTCATTGTTGAGCCAGTCAGTGGAAACCATTGACAGTATATGTAAAAAAATAGAAAATAAAAAACTCACATTGTGCAGCCACACTTTGTTCAAACCAAAGACCTTGATTTTAAATTCTAGAGGATACTCCAAAGTTTCCTGATGATGGACTGAGGCAGTCATAAAACCGAGCCAAACATTTATCTACAGAGCCATTTCTAATCTGTATGCAAGCTAAAAGAGAAATGGATGAGTCCATTTTGTTACTACATTTAAACCATGTGAACAGACATTTTCCCTAAGGCCCTGAGATCCCTGATTTCTCTCTGTCTGCCATCCTGTTACTCTCAGCTGACCGAGTGAGGCCTCAGCTGGTGATGCGGGACAACTGCAGGTGTACTGTACATCCCAGTTGGCTTCAGTTCGGACCGCTCAGTCAATGCACACGTTCACACTCCAGTTTGGATTATCTCAAATTGCAAGATCTAATGCAATTCCAAATTCTCAGATGAACTGATGATGTGAAGTACAGTGTAGACAGCTAATGAATAAATGAAAAATACTGCTTTTTTATTGGAGTATGCTGTATTTTTCTCAATTTCCATAAATAACAGTGACTGTCTCTGTATAAATTAGCTACACAGAAAGTCCAAATTTCATTCAATCCAACCAGCTGCATTTGTTCTTGCCTTGATTTGTAGAGTAAAATATTTAGTAATATATTCTACCAATGCAGATCCTGAAAGCAAACAGCAATAATAATAATAATAATAATAATAATAATAATAATAATAATAATAATAATAATAATAATAAAGTAAACTGCACACAGACATGCATAGGCCAACTTAGTTAAACCCTTTTAGTGCTGCAAGATTAATATGCAGATCCATGCAGTGTTCTACCCCACAGAACCAAAATATGGCATTTTTTCTATAAAGTAACACAGTTTTTCCTTTTGATGTAATGGTGCAGACATGTACAATGGCTCTTCGGTTTTGAATATTTCTCTCATCAATTATAATATATGGCAGACTGTCCTAAATACTACATTTTGATAAATTAGATTTCTCCTGTTCAGTTTTTTTTATGTTAGCTGTGGATTCATTTATGTGCCATTATATTACCACAAGGTTCTTTTGGCCAGAAGAATATGCAATTTAACATTAGAGAAAATGTGTTTTCTGGATTGAGTGGGTTTATTTCCTGGATAGCGCAGACATTTGGGAGCAGAGGATGAAAAGGATGAAGGAAGGAAAGTGTATGTAGTGTGTGTGTGTGTGTGTGTGTGTGTGTGTGTGTGTGTGTGTGTGTGTGTGTGTGTGTGTGTGTGTGTGTGTGTGTGTGTGTGTGGGAGGGGTGTTACTGTATGAAGCTTGATGGTGTGTCACTGAAGCACGAGCACAGTTCACTGCTCAGGCACAAAGCTCTAAGTGACTGCCGTCCCCCTCCTCCTGATGCTAATAAGCAGATCTGGGTCAGCTCACCCTCTCAAACACACACACACACACACACAAACACACAAACACACACACACACACATGCACATCCACAGATCCCCACCCACACACACATGCACATACGGTCACAAACTCATACAAATAAACCCCCATCTAGTTTCTTTCCTCAAACACACACACACACACACACACACACACACACACACACACCCTGGCGTCCATTCCTCCCAGGAGGCAAGACGTGACATTGTGTCGCTGTCCGTGCACGAAGCTTGCAGCTCTCTGCTTGTTGTGCTTGTCATCCAGGCAGCGGTGATGAGGCACAGGGGAACTAATAGGCTACAAGCACTCTGGGACTGCCACGCGTGATGCCAAGCAGCCTCCATTTTGTGAAGGAATGAACAGACTGTTAGTTCCCACTGACAGGGAGGGGAAGGAGGGGGAAATATCATGTTAGCTAGGGTCAATAATGTTTAGGCTTCATGAATAATACAATGATTTGATAATGTCTTTTATTATTTTTAGCTTTAATTCTCATTGTCTTTTTGATTCATTTTATTTTTGGGAGTTACAGATGACATGGGAATGAATAGAAATACATAAAACCTAATAAAAATGCTGTGTATTTAGGATTTATAAACAATAAAGCACAAATTAAATAATTTCTTCATTCTGTTTTAATTTACTTTACCTTTATATGTGTGTGTGTGTGTTACATTGCTCACGGGTACATTGGCAGTAATGGGACAGTCGTGGGTTTTCGTAACAGTTAAGCATCAGCTCCAGGAATTACACCCAGACAACCCTCAAAACAAGCTCACCAACATATTTAGTTTTCACCTCCCCCTCTGTTTTGTGGCGGAAGTAAAAGTGACTGAATATGCAGATTTTTGTAGAAAGCTTTGGGAGGAAAACATCTGACGGTGACAACTGTGTGATTATGAATCATAGCATTTCAGGAGTCATTTCCATTTCATTGTCATGGCAACGCAGAACTTCTTTTTAGTACAATCTGGAATAAGAAGCATTAATTCAAACTGAATGTTTGTTCACCTGTTCATGGGAGTGACTAAAAACACGCACAGGGAAAGAAAAGAAAAGAAAGCTCTGTCTTTTGTGTGTGTGTGTGTGTGTGTGTGTGTGTGTGTGTGTGTGTGTGTGTGAAGGAATGACTGATGAAGAAAAAGAGAGAGTCCAGTTTATGTAACAACCCTGAGTGTGAGCACTTCTGATATATCAGAGTCACACTGCGGACAAAACCCCCTGCAACCTCCATGACTCTCCTCCGCACCCTGTCACGCCTGCACACACACACTTTCTTCCTCTTTGAGACACATACACTGTACATACAATCTCTTGTTCTTTCTTTCTCTCTTCCTCTCTCCCTCACACACACACACACACACACACACACACACACACACACACACACACACACACACACACACACACACACACACACAGAGTCTGTCACTACCGCTCTCTTCAGTCTCTGGCCCTGTAAGCCCAGCAGATCTTTTTGGGCCATAGAGTGATTAATGTGTTTGTGCACCTGTCACTATTCATGCATTCATGCATGTCTGTGAGTGTGTGTGTATGTGTGTCTGCATGTGATTGTGTGTGTGGGAAAGGTATTTCTAAAAATACAAATATTAAAATGTATTTGTGTGTGTGTGTGGTTGTCAATCTCTGTCTTGTTCAGAGGATATTAGCTCCATACAGTAGTACAGTACAATATATTCATCTTTCTTTTGAAAGCAACCATTTAAAATGCTATTTTGGCCCTTTAAACCCATAGGTGATTTTATTACCCTGGCAGATTAGACCTGTCATCAGGTTGAATTGGGGTTGAGCTATACAAACTCCACCCCCAGCCACCAATTATCCAGCTAATCATCTAGACCAATAATCTTAGGAGGAATTTTACAAAATATTTTTATTTATAGCAAAATACTAAGGCTAACTAGCTCTACAATGCAATATGACCTGATCATGGATCATCAGTTACTGACTTTTTTTCCAGGACATCCACACATGGCCATATTAAAGACCCTTTCATAGGGGTCAGCAAGCATTGAAAAGACAGCTGGCTAAATCACAAAGTTTAAGCAATAGCATTTACTTACTAGCTACCAAAGTCTGACTATATATTTATATATATATAATAAAAATTTGTTTTGTTTAGATAGAGTCACCATATGGCCAATATTATTATTAATAATAATAGTAATACTATTAGGTCTCTCGTTGTAGACCATACAATTTTCACAGTTTTATCCTTTTTAAATCTAAATAGTTTTTCATTGCTCGTCCTCCACATGTGGGAGGCTTTATATGTAACACAGCAGACATTTTTCTTTTAACAATTCAACCATCATTAATTTTATCATTTACCATTTTTCTTTTCCTGCTGCGACAATTCAAAAACTCGGCTTTGAAAAACAAGATTATTTTGATCGACGGCATTTTGTAAGTAAATTTAGCTGACATGTGCCCATATTAGCAGGATTGTCTCATATGTAACCTAGAGGTGGAGCAACTATTTAAATGATAATAAGTTAGAGGTCTGACTCAAATGTAATTTAGCCCTATTATTCCCAAACACCATGCCCAACATCAACCAGCAGCATTATCTGATGCAGATGTCCATATGGAAAATCTGTTTATTATAATAAAATAAAACATTCTCGCGACTGTGCAGCCGGGAGACACGTGCTACCTGACCGCTGTGGAGTTTGTATTTGGCCTTTTGTTTTGTCACTCTCTCTAAAAAATATTTAGGATCGGCTAAAATGTGTTTAAGTCTCCATCCGTCCGGGCAGTCGAGGCTTTCAGACACACAAAAGAAATAACCTGTGCTGAGAAAATCTCTTTTCACTAAAATCTCAACATACACATACACACCCAGTCCAATTACTGTGGCCATGGCAACTATCAGAGATTATTGCTTCCAGTCAGCACTGCACGGCTGTTAGACGAGGGT